CCTGGATTATGACGAGATCAATTTCTGACTGTGTCTTTAAGGATTTGTATGTCAGTCAGACCAGGTGCATCTGGTTTTATGAGCCTTTCCTTAGCGCACGGAGAGGAAGCCTGGGGTTCATGCAACAGGGGTGGTTCACTGACTACTGTGAGTTAGGCAGTTTCGGGATATGCATGGAGGGGAGAGTAAGAATTTTTATTAAATATCTATATTCAAAGAGACAGAGGAGATCCAGCTCAACAAGAAAACTGTCTCCCTGAAGGGAGAAAGAAATACACATGGATTAAGCCTCGGATGGATCCCTTCTGACCATAGACTATGGATGAAAATAGCCGTGCATAATGTGTTAGTCTAAGTAAACAAGGGAAACAAATCCACAGAAACTCACATGTATAAGAGAGAGTTTTATATAAAGGGTAAGTGTACATTAAGAAAGCATCCCAACCCAGTGCTGCCCAAGCCCACAAGTCCAACATTAGCCCATATGTCTGACACCAATCTACAAAGTCCTCCTCAAACTCACAAAACACAGGCAATGATACCAACTGCAGGAGGAAAGCTGAGTTCAGTGAATGTGTAAGCATCTCAGCACTGGCAGGGGTCTCCACACGGCTGCTCCAGCACCCAGGGCTGTATCGGGGTAGGTCTATGTGGCTTCTCCTCAGGGATGACTTGCAGGAAGTGAACCTTGCCAGCTGAAGCAGGGAATTGGCTAAGGCAGCTGCACCCTTGTCCGACCATCACAAAGCAAGCGACCTGAGAACAAAAGTATATTATTGCTAATGCAGTTAGGTTACAGTTTAACACCTTATCATTTGATATACCATTTGATCCATTTTAAATTTGTTCTAGTTTAAAATATTTTCTGCTTTCTGTGCGATTGGGTTTTTTTGTTCTTTTTAAAAAAAATAATTTTATTGGGGGCTCATACAACTCTTATCACAATACATACATGCATCCATGTGTCAAGCACATTTGTACATTTGTTGTGATCATCAGTTTCAAACATTTTCTTTTTACTTGAGCCCTTGGTGTCAGCTCCTCATTTTCCCCTCCTTCCCACACTCTCCCTCTCTCATCATGAACCCTTGATAATTTATAAGTTATTACTTTTTCATTATTTTTTCAGGGGAAGGTGGGGGGAGGAAGGGGGTATCTGCCACAATGATCTACATATAACCCACTCCCTGGGGGACAGACAACAGAAAAATGGGTGAAGGGAGACACTGGTCAGTGTAAGACATGAAAAAAATAATAACAATTTATAAATTACCAAAGATTCATGAGGGAGGGAGGGTAAGGAAGAGAGGGAAAAAATGAGCTGATACCAAGGGCTCAAGTAGAAAGCAAATGTTTAGAAAATGCTGATGGCAACAAATGTACAAATGTGCTCGACACAATGAATGTATGTATGGATTGTGATAAGAACTGTATGAACCCCCAAAAAATGATTTTTAAAAATCTGTATATGAAATCCAGGACAGGTAAATCTATAGAGACAGTAACTGAATTAATGGTTTCTTGAGAGGTATCCAAGGGAGGTTGGAGGAAAATAGGGTGCTAATAGAATGAAGAAAATGTAACATTGATTGTAGTTATGATGTACAATTCTTAATAAGATTGAACTGTTGAATTGCATGACTTGTGAATTATATGCCACTAAAATGGTGTAAAAAAAAGAAGTCTGGGAAGGATTATTAGTAATCTTGTCACTAACTTACAGAATATCCATTAACAAACACCATGTCATCTTCTTTCTGCTGCTTCTTGCTCTGTATTTGATTCATTATGCTTATGCACAATGGAATGCTCAGTTTGGATTTTTGTGGTTTGCTTTGTGGGACTCGAAAAAACAAACTGCAGTGTTGTTACTCTTAAACAAACATTCCTCTTGTCTGGCCTAAAATTACAAACTAAACATTTGTTTCAATTCTTACTGCTAAAGAAACTAAAAAGCTCATATTAAAGTTTATAAAAATCCTAGCTTAATCTTCTCTTATTTCACTATGACTATATTTAGTATTTCCCTTTACATAAATCATTTCAATTAAAATGACATAAGTCTCTAACTTCTAAAAGAAAACAACAAAAATGGACCAATTCATCATAAATCCCAACAACATTACAGAGCTGAAAACAAAAGTAAGCAAAATGCGTGGGCCAGTTCACTGAGGCCCGGTGCAATCCCACTGCTGGTGCTGTGGGTTAGGCATGGGCTGCGAATTCAAACCTTCTAGCTGCCAGATGGGAGAAAGATGAGGCTGTCTGCCCCTCTAAGGATTTACAGACTCAGAAATCCTATACAGCATCACTATGGGCCATAATGGATTCATGGTTGTGGACTTAATGCAAGGAAAAACTCAGCCTTTTTAACGATTTAAAACTGCCCTCAGCAAGTGAAGGTGATTGTGGTGAGCTCTGCTGTGATGACAGGTTGGTTCGGTCATTTCAGAGCGAGGGCTATATTACGGATCATTAAAGGGGAAGCAAGAATTTTCAGTAAGTAGGACTTGTAATCCAGGGACTGTGTGTATGTGTAGTTGGGCAGAGAAATATTTTTGGTCAACTTGTCATCTTGTCAAAACACCCTGCCCTGTGAATTCTCTTGTTAACAAGTAAATGTACTCGTAGGAGACAAGTGGCCATCTGACATCCTGCAAAGATGTACTAAAATCAGATCTTGCAAGGACTTCATTTCAGCTAAAAAAAAATAGAAGAGAGAATATTATGCTCTTGGTTTGTATACCTCCAAACTTATCTACACACCCAATGGTATGACCGATAGGATATGATCTTTAAGGAAGTAGGAAAGTATAAGACCCTAAACACAGGCAGACAAATATCCTTTCCTACTTAATCAAATATCACAACCTGTAGTAGCTATAGAATTCTAAAATGTCTTCCATAAATCCACCCCCTAGTGCGTATACCTCTTGCCCCTTGAGTGTGAACAGGACGCGTGAATATGAGCGATCACTCCTATGATTGTGTTTTATATGGAAAAAGTGAAAGGGTTTTACAGATGTAATTAAGGTGCCTGGTCAGTTGGCATTTAGTTACCCAGATAATCCCAACTCAACATTTCCACAACTGGTATAATTGTTTTCCCTTATAGCATGGTCTTGCTTGTGTTCTTCTTTTAATGAATGGCTCCATATTGACTCAGTTACCTAAGCCAGAAACTTTTAACAGTTCTGTTCCCGTTCACCATTTTCTCTCCACTCGATGAAGGGTCATCAACAAGTTCACGGGAAATGTATATTATGGAAAACATTGCATGAATTATGAAAAATTGCACCCAAATAAATTCACACTAACTTGTTGTAATGTGTCTGAACAGTATCACGTTTGCGTGATTCAAGCTCTTGGCTGCTAATCCAAAGGTGGTTCCTTAAAACCACCAGCTGTTGGGTGGGAGAAGGGTGTTGCCATTGGCTTCAGTTAATATTTCCAGGCTTGTAAACCCCATAGGGCGATTCTACTCCATCATGTAGTGCCCAGAGCTGTCAGGATTGACGAGGGCTTCCGGTTTGATTTGGGGTATACTGTGTTACCATTACTGGAATGTCTTCATTAGGGTTCACTATTTCACTGCTCTAGGTTCTAATTAGCCATTACAATGGCTACACAGAACTCACAGCCAAGATTTGTAGAGGGTTTATTTATTTTTTTTTAACATTTTATTAGGGGCTCACACAACTGTTATCCCAATCCATACACACATCAATTGTGTAAAGCGCATTTGTACATCGTTTCTCAAAACATTTTCTCTCCATTTAAACCCCCGACATTAGGTCCTCATTTTTCCCCTCCCTCCCCGCTCCCCCCTCCCGCATGAGCCCTTGATCGTTTATAAATGGGTATTTTGTCATATCTTGCCCTGTCCGACATCTCCCTTCATCCACTTTTCGGTTGTCTGTCCCCCAGGGAGGAGGTCACACACAGTTCCATGTAATCGGTTCCCTCTTTCCTACCCATTCTCCCTTTTGTAGAGGGTTTATTAAGGAAGTTAACAAGTTGTGATGTCAGGGTTCAATTGTTTAATCAGGATATGCTACAATGTTCTGTGGTGTCTGATAATAAATGCGCAAAGGGAGGAGGGTGGGGGGAGAAAGGGGGAATTGATCACAAGGATCAATCTAGAACCCCCTCCCAGGGGGACGGATAACAGAAAGGTGGGTGAGGGGCAACGGAGGATGTGAGATAGGGAAAAAGTAATAACTTATCAAGGGTTTGTGAGGGAGGGTGGGTAGGGGAGGGTGTGGGAAAGAAATGGGGAGCTGAAATCAGGGGCTCCAGTGGGAAGAGAATGCTTTGAAAAGGATGATGGCAGCATATGTGCAAATGTGCTTGACACATTGGAGGAATGTATGGGTTGTGATAAGATGTAAGAGCCCCCAATAAAAGTAGTTTTAAAAAGTGCGCAAAGGGCATACAGCTCTGATAAGCCTCAACCTGAAGCCATTCAGCTGAAGCTTCTTGGGTCAGGAAACCCAGCTCCCTGGACTAAGTGCCCAGAGACACTCCACGCCATAAGCCTCAGCCCAAAGGCACTCAGCTCCACTTTTATTTTAAACAAATAAGTTTGTTCCAAAATATACTTAAATTAAACTTAGGAAGGTTAACAGTAAATGACTATGTATTCTGGGGAGCTTGGCGACACCCAGGCGGGGTCCCAGGGCGCGGGCGGAAGGGGTTAGGTGGCTTTGCATCCAAGCAGTCTGCTGCAACCAGGGTTTCTGCTGTCACTGCGAGGGTCACACTGTACACGTCATTAGCATCACTGGCAGAGGACAGCTTGCTGCCGAGTGACAATGAACTCAACTGGCTAAACCTTGCGAGCTTTAGCCAACTGAGTTCATTGACACTTGGCAGGAATCTGGCCAACAGCCTTGAGGTGCAGTTTCAAACCAATCCACATGTGATTAAGGGAAGAAAGCAGGCCCTTTATTAGAACCCAAGACACATTCCTTTGCTGATTTTATTTTATTTCAATTTCAACATGCCAATATCAATTTTATTTCTTTATAAAGGAAAACAGAACATAGGGAAACAAATTTAAAATCCAACACCAGTTATGATGCTGAAAAAACAACTTGCTGATTTTACGTTGCGTTCTCCAGACGAGTGTGTCCCAGGTTGGCCCAGCTCCCGGGGGTCCAGAGAGGGCCAGGAGGGGACAGGGGCAGCGCGCAGGGCTCCTTGTCTCATCTGGCGTACTGCTGGATATAGTCTTTAACTTTTTTCAGGAAGTCCTCCTGGTTGTGCAAATAGTGTTCCGCAGCTTCAGTATTCAGTGGATCCTCAAAATTCAAAAGATCCGTAAATAAGGAGTCTAATCCCCAAACCACATCCTTCAGCTTCCTCATGGGAGACCAGCCAGTGTCTCCCAAATGTTCTCGCAGTATACTCAGACAGACGACCCCTCTCTCTGTAATGTTGGGGTGCCAGATTCTGGTCAAGCAGTTGACCACCGGGGGCATCATGTTGTAGTTCGGAGGAACGCGAATTTGAAACAGAAAATTTCCACCCTGGTAGTAGCCCTCGTCTGGGGTCACGGTGAGCCGAAAGCAGTGGAGACTGTCAGGATCAGGAAAAGACAGCTTGCAGGTACAAGGTAAATTCGCTTCCAGTTCTGCAACCTCTTGGACGAGCAGCTTGTCTCTCATAGACACCCTCGTCGTGGAGAGGGAGGCAGTGGCTGAAGAGCTGGGCCCTGGGGGACTGTCATCCTGCTTCAGTTTGTTCGGCATAGTGAGCATCACCGCTGGGCGCCCTGGGCTCCTGGGGGGACGGCCACCTGTTCGGCTCAGCAAGCAGCTGTCATATGCATCCCAAGAGTTCACTGACGGGACTTCAGGTCCAGTCCGGTCTGTAGTAAAGAGATCCTTCCTCTGCTTTTCAGAGGCTCACTTTATACACAGCGGGAGGGCACGCCAGGCAATCCTGTTTGCAAATTACTCACAGGTAAATCCCATCAGTTACTTCCTCCCACTTCTTATCAGGTGCTTTCAGGGAAAAGTAGTTTGGTAGGTGTTAAGAGACTTTGCCTGGAAGAGCCAATTAAATACTTCACTGTCCCTGCGATTACTCCTACCCATTTTGAAAAGTTTTTCAGCACCCTAAACAGAAATTTAATATCCCTTTAGCAATCACTTCTTTTTTTAAAAACAGTTTTATTGGCACTCCACCCACCTGCCATACAACTAATAATTCAGTCATATCAAGAGGAGCTCTGCAATCACCACCATCAATTCTACATTTTCTCCTTCCTTGCACTCATTGTTATTCATGTCATCATTATTTTTAATTGTGGCAAAATGTACACAACAAAGCATTCTCCAATCCAACAACTTCTACATGCTGATTCAGTGCCATTGATTATAGCCTTCGTGTTGTACAACCACTACTAAAACCTGTTTCCAAATTATTCCACCACCATTAACAAACACTCAATTCCTCCTAAGCAAAAATTTCTTCCTACTTCGCCCATCTTTTGTCAAGTTTAATTCCTTTCTTTCTTTCTTTTTTTAGTAGTTTTCTTGATATAATATTCACATATGATACATTTCCACAGTTAAATCACTTTTAAAATGTTTCAATCACTTCGATATCCTTCTCCACACAGCCACTGGTAACTACTACTTCAGTCTCTAGACATTAGTCTATTCTTGATATGTCATAAAAGTGGGAGCATACAGTATTTGTTTTCTATGTCTGACTGTTCACTCAACATTGTATCTTCAAGGTCCAGCCATGCTATACCATGTATTACATTTTCATGTTTCTCTCTGGCAGCATTTTTGTCTAAACCATAATGTGTTTATTCATTCATCTGCTAATGGGCACTTCGGTTGCTTCCACTTCCTGGCCATTGTGAATAATGCTGCAGTGAACACTGGTGGATATGTATCTGTTTGAGTCCCTACTTTCTAGTCTGTTGGGTGTGTGGAATTGGAAGTGGAATTGCTCGGTTATATGCTAAATCTATCATGGTAGAAAGATGACCGCTGTCTGCTCCTGTAAAGATTTACAATCTTGGATGTCCAAGGAGCAGTTTTACTCTGTCCTATGGGGTCATTTTATGTCAGAGTCGACTCAATGGTTGTGGGAGGGTAAATCTAAAGGAGCCCTGATGGTGCACGATTAGTTGCTTGACTCTGAACCAAAACATCAGGGGGCTTGAACCCACAGGCTCTTCACAGGACGAAAGACCTGCTGATCTGGTCTCATACATAGTATAGCTTAGGAAATCCTTACGGAGAAGTGCTGTTCTGTCCCATAGGGTTGCTATGAGTTGTAATCAAATTGACAGCACAGAACATGTCCTAAATCTATATGTTCTGCTTCTTAAATTTTCTTTTGTGAATAAGGTGAAAGTATACAGTGCATGTAAATTTTTCATTCAGTAGTTTATATACAGATTTTGTTTCTTGTCATTGATTGCATTTCCCACAGTGTATGTAATATCACTAATGCTAAATCTATTTTAATTTTTGTTTTCAAAACTTATTTTTTGTGGTTATTGAGAATATACACAGCAGAAATACACTGATTCAACAATTTCTACATGTACAAGTCAGTGACATTGATTACATTCTTTGAGTTGTGGAATTAATCTCACCTTCTTTTCCGGACGTTGGCCTCCCCTATTCACATAAATTCACTGTCCCATAAGGTTCCTAACTAATGCTGTTGTCTACTTGACCCCTTATAAAACATCTTAAGAGAGCCCAATTCTCAAAGCAGACATTCTTTACCAATTAAACTAAACTACTATTTGGTTTGAAGAAGACTTCAGTGAGTATTTTGGCTTACAGTTTTAAAATTATCTCAGGACAGTAGTTTGGGGGATTCATCTGACTTCCTTGCCTCCAAAAAAGTCGAACCCACGAAAATGTAAAATTATTTTTTGCATTTTCTCCCAAAACGTTCAGTAGTGGTAGCTGAACACCATCCTGTTTTTGCTACATGGCACCAGTGGCTGTTACTCATGGAATGAATTAGATATAATTAAAATTTCAATTCTTATTCCAGACTCTCTTTCTCCCTTTGTGTCTCCGAGTGAACACAGACCAATTCCCTGTCTGGAATGGAATGGGTGCTTGCAAGCTTAAGGTCCCAGACATGAAGTAGGAGATAAAACAGAAGCATTACAAAATAATAACAAATATTTATTCTAGGTTGATTAAGCACAAAGCGTCAATATACATAAACACATGAAGCGGCTTCAAAAGTTCATGGAATGACTAGAAAAGAACATGTACACTGCTACAGATAAGCACCCGCAACACAGGGAATCCAGGACAGATAGACACCCTCAGGGTCAACAATGAGAATAGAGATACCAGGAGGGGAAGGGGAAGGTGGGGGGAGAAAGGTGGATCCGATCACAAGGAACACAAGGATTGCAGAGGGACGAATAACAGAAAAGTGGATGAGGGGAGGCAGCAGATGATATATGAAAATAATAATTTATAATTTATCAAGGGTTCGTGAGGGAGGCAGGGTGGGGGAGGGAGGGAAAATGAGGAGATGATATCAAGGGCTCAAATAGAGAGGAAATGCTTTGAAAATGATGATGGAGAGACTCCACCGATCCGTGGCACTGCGGGTCCTTCTCCAGCGCCATGAACCACGTGTGGCCAGGCCTTGGGTTCAGGGTCCCCAGCCACCCCCGCGTCTGGCCTGTTCTCAGTGGTTTGCCCACATGTACTTGACAATAAACCATGTCAGTAAAGTGTCAATAAAAAAAAAAAAAGAAAATGATGATGGCAACATATGCACAAATGTGCTTCACACAATGGATGAATGTATGGATTGTGATAAGGGCTGTAAGAGGCCCCAATAAAAGTATTTAATAAAAAAAATTCATGGAAAAATTATCTTCTCTATTAATTCCATTGCCAAAAATTACATGAAAATATGCTCAAGGTCATTAATTATTATCAAAACCAAAATTATTGCCAAACCAAACCAATTACTATCAAGTACTTTTTCTTTTTTTTAAATCTCTCTATTGAAGACAACTTTAAAAAATAGATTTATTGGCATATACTTCACGTATCATACAATTTACTCATTCAAGCATATTAAGATTGTGCAATCATCACCACAATTTCAGAACATATTCTTCTCATACTCGCTGTTATCTCCCCATTTCCCCCCAACCTTCCCTGTCATGCCCCTATCCAGTTACTGTCTGTAAAGAGCTACCTATCCTGGATTTCCTATACAGAAAATCATACAAAACCATACAAAGCAACCAAACAAAAAACCCCAACAACAATGACTATACAAGACATAGAAAAACTTCAATAAAAAAGAAAGCAGAAAATACTAAAATTTGAAACAACTTTAAAAGGGTTAAAATGGAGATCAAATGATAAGGTATTACATTTTAACCTAACTACATCTGCCACAGTGGGCTTTACAATGCTCTCTATTTGCTAGCAAGGTGGTTCACATCCCTCAACTGTGTTCAAAGGGAATTCACTGGAGACTTGATCCACGTGTGGACCTGGCAAATGGGTTTTGGGTTTCTACCATCATCTATAACCTTCTGCACACCAGGTGTTCACAATTTAAGCTCTATTACCACTCCCTCTCCCACATGCTGTTGCGCTTCTTCCATGTGGACTTAGTTGATGCCTCACTTAAACGCCTGCTTGTTTGAAGACAAGCCTTTCAGGCTCCAGAGACCTTTTTTTTTCTTCTGATAGCCAGGCACCATCTGCTTTATCACCACAACTTGCATTATAACTTCAGTGATTTCTTCGTGAGGGCAAGTGTTGAGCAAGAACATGTCATAAGAACTAATTGTTCTTAGATTGGGGCTAAAACCCTATGGAATAGGTCAGTTCCATAAATCCGCCAAAGGTGAATTTGAGGGAAAGTCTGCTTCATTTAGTAGGATTTCTACATAAAATCCTTCTGGTGTGGCCTATGAAGGATGGTGTGTGTCTCGCTGACCCATGGCCCTACAGGGGACAACACTGGAGACTCAATGTCGGGATTGGCCTGGTCTGACCCCATGACACTGAGGCAAAACACTAAAGGCATGCAGCAGAGCAATGGGGGGAGCAGAGCAGGGAGCTCCCAAGGGAGTGCAAAGGACAGACTTTGGGGCCAGAACGTGGCACCCCATCAGACTTGATTGGAGGACACACCTAGTTAGAGGTCAAAAATCAGACCTGGATCTACTTACAGGTTTTTCTTTCTTTTTTCTTTTTTTTTTGAGAGAGTGAGTGAGTGAGAGTGAGTGAGTGGGAGAGTGAGTGAGTGGGAGGAGAGTGAGTCAGTGAGGAAGAGTGAGTGAGTGAGGAAGTTAGGGAGTGAGAGAGGGGGTGAGTGAGAGAGGGAGTTAGTGAGAGTGAGTGAGTGAGAGAGTGAGTAAGTGAATGAATAAGAGAGTGACTGAGGGAGTGAGGGAGTGAATGAGTGTGAGTGAGTGAGTGAGAGAGTGAGTAAGTGAATGAATAAGAGCGTGACTGAGGGAGTGAGGGAGTGAGAGAGTGAGTGAGTGAGTGAGAGTGAGTGAGGGAGTGAGGGAGTAAGTGAGTGAGTGAGTGAGTGAGAGAGTGAGTGAGTGAATGAGTGTGAGAGAGTGAGTGAGTGAGTGAGAGAGGGAGGGAGGGAGAGAGTGAGAGAGTGAGGGAGAGAGTAAGTCAATGAATAAGAGAGTGACTGAGGGAGTGAGTGAGTGAGGGAGTGAGAGTGAGTGAGAGCGAGTGAGTGAGAGAGGGGGGAGGGGGAGTGAGAGAGTGAGTGAGTGAGTGAGAAAGAGAGTGAGTAAGTGAATGAATAAGAGAGTGACTGAGGGAGGGAGAGAGTGAGAGAGTGAGGGAGAGAGTAAGT